TAAGGTAAGGTAAGGTAGGTAGGTAGGTAGGTAGGTAAGTAGGTAGGTAGGTAAGTAGGTAGGTAGGTAGGTAGGTAGGTAGGTAGGTAGGCAGGTAGGTAGGGTAGGTAGCTAGGTAGGCAGGTAGGCAGGTAGGTAGGTAGCTAGGTAGCTAGGTAGGTAGGTAGGTAGGTAGGTAGGTAGGTAGGTAGGTAGGTAGGTAGGTAGGTAGGTTATAGTAGTAATCGTAGTAGTAGTAGTAGTAGTAGTAGTAGTAGTATAGCAGAAGAGCAGCAGCACAGTGGCAGTAGTCGTGGTGGTACTGGTACAGCTCGTCGTATAGTAGACAATCGGTCACTCGAGCACGGTCCAAATATAATGCGAACCGTTCTCTGATATTGCGATATCCCTGGAACCCGAAACGTAAGCCCACATCCCGCTACTGAGAACAATCCAAGCAGATAGGGTTTGCCTAGATCAGACACATACTAAATCAGTCTCCCTGACCCAAGTGCCCCACTCATTCCCTGTCTCGCAATGCGATCTGACGCAAGTCCGGGTTCAGGGCTAGGGCTAGGGTTTAGGCTTCGGTTCGTATTTGGGATAGCAGCATGCTCTAGATATGGGCGACTTCAACAAACATTTCACAGTTTGGACCGCTGATGCTCCTTACGAGGGAAGCTACATGCCGAAACCCTTATACCCTTAAACCCTAAGCCCTAAACCCTGAAACCCAAAACCCCTTAAGCCCTGAACCCCTGCACCCTAAACAAGGTTAATTAGGCACCACACATGGGGAAGACTTTAAATGATCAATAGGGGGTCCGGATCTAGTGTTGAGCATCTGCTGATTGCTACGATAAAGGCACTTCCTGCACCCCTGCAATTAACCGTACACCTAGGCTTGACAAATCAAGTACTCGACATTCGAAGCCCTCCACGATCACGATGCACTTGAACGATTTGATTCCGATGCTCCGTACTCGGGAAGGACTGCTACTAGTACGTACTACTACTACTACTAATACTACTACTACCTACGTACCTACCTACCTACCTACCTACCTACCTACCTACCTACCTACCTACCTACCTACCTACCTAACTACCTACGTACCTACCTACCTACCTACCTACCTACCTACCTACCTACCTACCTACCTACCTACCTCCAGGAAACAACCTGAATGGCACGACTAGTTGGGGACAACGCGCAAATCGATGCCGCTCCGGTGGACCATCCAAGACCAAGACCATTCGACGATGCATGCACGAGATTTGCAATCTTATGAGACGACTACGAGGGTTTAGGGTTTAGGGTTTAGGGTTTAGGGTTTAGGGTTTAGGTTTCAATTTTGACGGCATGCGGCATGCGGTGATATCTAGATGTATTTGAAAGCTGAGTCGCGAGTTGACGATGCGAAGCCCTAATGATAATCAGCGACAGCACTTGCTCTGAGTCGAGCCTCCCTTACTAAACTAGATCCCCATTACACCCCTCTCAAGCCGAAGGACCCTGAAGCCCAAAAGCAAGCCCTTAAAGCTCCTCCCAAGCCGAAGGATCCTGAAGCCCGAAAGCCCTAAAGGCCGAAAACTCTGCGAACCAAAACACTCAAACCCCGAAAAGCCCAGATTCAAAACTTGTTTTACGTGCCACCACATGCCTCATCCATAATTTAATTTATAATGAAACCGCTAACAGGCCTGCGGAATTATTACCCTAAATAGCCCGACAGGAGCCCGTATAACACGTGCTCTAAGAACTTGCCGTTAAGCACACCGCCACTACACGAGCATCAGCATAGAATCTTGCTGGGGTATTTGTGGTTGGTGGTAGTAGTAGTAGTAGTAGTAGTAGTAGTAGTCATAGTACTATAGTACCAGTGGTGGTCCGGTAGTAGTAGGGCCGCTACATGTCTACACCGCACTCTATAGCCGATCCGGCAAGGCCCTGCATCCCAGGACCTCCATGTGAACCCGAAGCAAAACCCCTAAAACACTTCAACACCGCAGCTCTCGAACCCTAAACCCGGCATCGATGCATTCGCGCCCATGGAACGGGGTTTAGGGCGGGGGTGAAAGTAATTTAAAGCGCCCTGCTGGCCTCCAATCGCAAGTGTCAAAGGTCGTTTCATCCAGAGCTGCACATCGAATGGGGCCTTGGCTGGGTCAGAGGTTGCTTCATCGCTGCACATCGAATGGGCCTTGGCTAACATATATGTTTACTTGGAACCCTGGAGCTAAGCGAATGCCAGCCGACTGCTCTAACCCCACCTACGATCTAGAATCTAGAAACCCTAATAAAGTCCCGAAGCTTCCTCCGGTACTAAACCCTTACAGTAGCCTGTATAGAACCCTTTAAGGAACCCCTGTAAAGGAACCCCCAAAACAACCCTGAACCTCTAACCCCACCTACGATCTAGAATCTAGAAACCCTAATAAAGTCCCGAAGCTTCCTCCGGTACTAAACCCTTACAGTAGCCTGTATAGAACCCTTCAAGGAACCCCTGTAAAGGAACCCCCAAAACAACCCTGAACCTCTAACCCCACCTACGATATCTAGAATCTAGAAACCCTAAAATCCCGAAGCTTCCTCCGGTACTACAGTAGCCTGTATAGAACCCTTTAAGGAACCCCTGTAAAGGAACCCCCAAAACAACCCTGAACCTCTAACCCCACCTACGATCTAGAATCCAGAAACCCTAAAATCCCGAAGCTTCCTCCGATACTAAACCCTTACAGTCCAAAACAACCCTGAACCTCTAACTCTACGATCTAGAATCTAGAAACCCTAAAATCCCGAAGCTTCCTCCGGTACTAAATTCTTACAGTAGCCTGTATAGAACCCTTTAAGGAACCCCTGTAAAGGAAACCCCAAAACAACCCTGAACCTGGAAGCCTCCTCCCTAAACTTCACAGGCTTCAGCATTCCTTCAAGATTTCAGGGTTTGGGCTTGAGAAGGGTTTTGGGAACGATTGGGGGTAAGCTTTGGTTTGCAAGGGTTCGAGGTAGGGGTTCCAGCTTAGGGTTTCTAGGGTTTGGGGTCCGTTGGCATGCCCTGCTTGAGAAGGGTTTTGCGAGCGAGTGGGTGAAGGTTTTAGTTTCAGGCCTAGGGATCGAGGTTGGGGTTCCGGTTGAGGGTTCCTGGGTTTCGGGGTCCGTTGGCAACGCCGTTTTTACCTGTCTACTCCCTGCCTTAAACAAGAAACCTACACATCCCGAAGCTTCACCCTAGACCTCAAAGCCTCATCCTCGAACACTCAAGATCTTGGTTTCAGGCCAAGGGTTCGAGTTGGGGTTTCGGCTTAATTAGGGCCGGGCTTCTAGGCTTTCAAGCAGTCCTTTGGTTCGCTGGTGTATATCCCGAGATCCGAGATTGGGGCTAGGGGTTATAATGGAAACAACCTAGAACATGTCTAGATGTGCAACCGAGCAACAGCACGGACCATGTCGGGTGGCCATGGTACATGTACATATATGTTCAAAACCCTACAACCTTGACCACCTAGCCCTGACCGCCTGTGTCATATAATTAAGTTGAACATTTCCTAATAAGAGCACTACAGCTAGCTCAGGCGACTATATGCAATGACTTCAGATCTGCTGGCAGCATTGACTGTGATGAGGCGACGAAGGCTCGCGCGAGAATGAGCTGGGTCATGAGTCATGAGTATTTATGTATATATTTACCTCGTCCTAGATGTGGAAGTTTGTGTGTGTCCTGTGTACATGGCTGCAAACTCACACTTGGCATGTTTAAACCTCGAGCTCTAAACGGATGCTGAAAAAGATCACACAAATCTCAAAGCGCCATCCCCTCTAGCATGATTACTGCCCAAGCCTGGTATTTGCACATATATATATATATACTTTGGGTAGTATTGTCGACCCTCCCCAACATACTGCTGTATACTACTGCTGATGGACAAAATTCTGCATGACCCAAATATAGTATAGTACCATACATTCCATAATTCAGGTATATAATGGTCATGCAGGATTATGTCCATCAACCGTATGTACCTAAAGCCGCTAGGTGTGCTCCACATGTACACACACAGGAATCTTTCCTCAAGGTCGGAGGATCGCACGACCCAATGAAGGGGCTTGCCATTGCACTTAATGCATGCAGCATGTGTATCACACGTCTGTCCACTATGCAACGGAAATTGGAATAGGCTCCTAAGGGCCTGCATCAGGTCGTATGTGCTACACAACCTATCCGGATCCGTGCACAACAGCAGTCTAGTGGAACCACCTGTGACATGTACATTAATATTCCTATGCAACATCGACCCAAGGCCCGTGGTAGCTACTCGTCATAATTCGAAATCTCAGAATTCAAACAGCAGGAACGAGTGCTCGGCACATTCATGCGTTCAGCCAAGCCTGCGACGAAGCAGGCTTACGGTCTAGGGTTTAGGGGATTCAGGGTTTGTGGGATTTTCGGAAATTTTGGGGATTTAGGGGATTTAGGGTTCAGGCCTTTAGGGCCTTTAGGGTTTGGGGGTTAGGGTGTAGAGGTTTAGGGTTTAGCATGGTTTCGTTATCGCCATCGGTCGACTTCGGAACGGTGTGTAATCTCCTGGCACTTCCAACTGAATCACTCAATCTATCTTGGACCTGCAACCCAAATCTATACGAGCCCGACCTGCACAGCAGGGTCGACCGCCGCCGCCGATATCCAGCCGGCCGTGTACTTTGCCAGCTGCCACCTGCAAGCAATGCATATAGTTGCAGGCAAGGGTACTTATAGCTATGTATATACAACATCATCGCAGGCTCCGTTCCACCCAGCTAGAAGTCCCCTTTTCATCTAGTGTGGGCAAAACCAATGTAGACAGAAAGCTTCATGATTGAATACGGTTATGAGCATAGTGCAGCAACAGCCACACATGTCGAAGCTCTCCTCGGGACCACTTCAAGGTTGAGCCGCTTTTCTTATCCACCTTGGGTCGGGTTTACACATGGCACTGATTTGCGTATAATAGAGGAGAAAGCGCTGAAACGATCGTACACGTTACAACCAAGTAGCCTTCACCCCCGGGCAAGGAACCCAGCTGTTGTTCACATAAAAGGCCCTGTTATTCAGCAGCACCGTGATGCTCTTGTACTTCTTCCAATCCTTCTCCAGCAAGTCTGTTGGGGTGGGGACGACGAAGCTCCTGAGATTAGCTAGCTTGCAGTCAGAGCTACGGAAGACCCAGCACAACACAACCAAGACCCACTTAATCCTGGAAACTGAGGCTGCACCTGTGGCTTCGCTAGCGGCTCGGAAGACACCAGCGGCAACGGTTTAAGGTTTAGGCTTAGGGGTGTAGGTTTTAAGGTTTGGGGAAGTTTGAGTACGTGGCGGAACCTGCTGACTGTCGTTTTGCCTAGATGCACGTTCTACAACAGGGTTTAGGGTTCAGGGTTCAGGGGTTCAGGGTTCTGGGGTTTAGGGGTTTAGGGGTTTTAAAGGTTTAGATTTTAGAGGAGAAGCCCTCGTTAATGTCAAATCAACACGCAGGCAAGAATCAGGGTCTTCAGTTCAGAGGGGTCAACGAGGCCGGAATGGGGGCAGCAGTCACTTATGCCGTCTTGCAAACTGAGCCATTGCAAGTTCTCTCTGGCCTTGGCCTGCTCTCTTTCACGTTTGGCTGCCTTGCGATCACCTGCTTGTTCCGGGGCCTCATCAGGTGCTGTAGCTAACGTAAGCTGAGCAACCGCCGGGCCCGACACCTCGGCAACGATAGCATTCGGAGCTGGGGACTCGACGGCAGTAGCATCTTCGTCAGCCATGTTCACAACCGACTCGACAGCAGCTTCAGCAGCCACACCGCCCGACTTGGAGACAGCAGCATTCGAATTCGTAGCCATGTCAACATCCGACTCGACAGCAGCTTCGGCAGCCACACCGTCCGACTTGGAGCCAGCAGCATTCGTAGCCATGTCAACATCCGACTCGACCGCAGCTTGGGCAGCCACACCGCCCGACTTGCAGACAGCAGCATTCGCAGCCATGTCAACATCCGACTGGACAGCATCTTCATGGGCAGCCGCACCGCCCGACTTGGAGACAGTAGCATTCGCAGCCATGTTCACATCCGACTCGACAGCTGCATCGGCAGCCACACCGCCCGACTTGGGGATAGCAGCATTCGAAGCTACGTCAACATCCGACTCGACAGCAGCTTCGGCAGCCACTTTGGAGACAGCAGCATTCGCAGCCATGCTAGCATCCGACTCGACAGCTGCATTGGCAGCCACACCGCTCGAATCCTCGGGAACATATTGCCGATTCGACAGCACTCGAGATAGCAACCAGCCCTTTAGAGCAGAGTTCAGCCAAGGTGCGGCGCTGGCCGGTTCCTGAACCCTGGCTCGCTTGGCCTCGAGCTCGCCATCGAGCTGATCTTCTCCAAGTCGCTTCTTCAACTTTTTCAGCGCTAGCTCCTGGAAATTAATTCGGCTTCTTGAGAAGTACTCTAACGATCAACTCAATACGATGTTGCAATTCTGCAAACCCTCGGCCGTGTCCTCACGAATTTGCCGTCGCAAAGCAGCTTGCTCTCCCCGAATCTCTCCTGTTGAAACCCCCAAGGTCATAGCAACCTCGAAGTTGAAGGGCAAGTTGCCCTTCGGTAGAAGTGGCTGCCGGTCCTCGTGAAAGCGACTATGCTCGAACTGCATTCCTGTATCTATATATATATATATATACATGATTAAAAGATGCACCTTGAAGGCTCCATTCGAGGTTCGCTTGCAAGATTCCACGCAGACTGGTACCGTAGCCTGAGTCGTTTGTACGGTGACTAGCCGACTTATAATAAGCACGACTCCAGCACTCACGAAAATCCTATTCGAATGCCAAGGTACAGCGACGTCACGATCTGAGGGCGCCGTCTCATCTGTCGTCGTGGCTGCCTGGGCTTGGCCGTCTTAGGGGTCCTAGTGGCTGCGAGAATAGGTACAGCAAGGAGCGAAGTCGGCATGCAAACTTCTTGGCAGCAGCACTGCAGGTACCGACTCCTGACTTCACGAAAGTAAGTCGATCATCCTTAAATTAAATCACACTTCTCCTATCCTCGCGGGCTACTTATAATCGGACTGGCCTGTCGTAGTGAGCCGTGCACGTCGGCGGCCTGATGCGACTACTGTCGATAGCTAGCGGGTTAGAATTATAATGGGTGAGGCTGCAACAAATCTATAATGATGGCCTGATCTAGATTGCGGATACAACGATAAATCTAGCGAGAGTTCGCTCTATAGACAGAAAGAGACATAGATAGATAAATAGATAGATACAGATCTAGAGATGTGTGTGTGTGTGTACATAATGAGCATGTGTGTACATGATAAGCAGGGTTAGGGGATCCCTACAACCCGAACCCTGACCCCAAATTAGATGTTGCCCTAGCTATTAAGTGCAAAACACCCTTGGCTTCGCAAAGCCGAGCTTAGTAAGAAGTAGAACACCACTAATGAGCCCGAACCCCTTTCAAAATGCTCTTTCAGTGTATAGGGCCAAGGTATATTGTAAGGGCTGAATATATGAATGAAGGATAGAGTTCATAACGCATAATATATATATATATATATATAGATAACTACAATGAGGCGATCTCAGATATAATATGTGTTATTAGGATTTTCCATGGGTTCGGGCGCTAGCAGCTCGCAGTTCAGCTATATATCCAGCAACATTCCCGGGTCTGCCACGGCCCACAATTCGTCTAGTACTCGAAACCGAAACCTTTAATCTCTAAGCCCATCCGTTGCTACTACTAGACAGCAGTATCTAGAACTGTCGTGACAAGCCGCTTGATCATGAAGCGGAGCGATCGGCGAATCCTCGAGCTCAATGACCTGTGAAAAGGATCCGATTTGGGCTGCAGCGGTGGACCTAGATTAGGGAAGACTTAATCGAATGCCTCTACTTGCCCGGGGGCACCAGCTGCCACCGATGCGGCAGGAACCTGCAAACAATCTGTATTCGCTTGAATTTTGAATAGTGTTGCCAGCAATCGGCTATATAGCTATGTTGCTTTACCCGGGGACAGGGGTTGCAATTGGGGAATATGGGATGCCTCCACGTCTACAGCAGCTGCTCCAGCTTCGGTGGCATCAGCTGCCAGCGATGTAGTAGGAACCTGCGAACAAGTTGTGTGCTTCGTTTATGGTGGGATTGGTACATGTATGCACAGCTAAACCAGATCTAGATTCACGGGCCAAGCAATCCTTGCCTACAAAATATGCTATGTTGCTACAGGTGGGGACATGAGTACGTATCGGGTTGAAAATTATAGAATGCCTCCAAATCCACATGAGCTGCTCCAGCTTCGGTGGCACCAGCTGCCACTGATGTAGTATATGTAGGAGCCTGCGAACAAGTACCATGCTTCGTTGATGGTGGGATTTTTTAAATTTGTACACACATGTACAGCTAAACCTGCAGATCTAGATTCACGGGCCAAGCAAATTCCCTACTGCTATCGCTGACCTCGATCTACATGATTTACTGCATCCCCATACACATGATCCGTGTGCATGTCAACATATACACATGTAATATAAAAGCGCTAAATTCTGGCCAGCAACGACCGGCACCGTCTCGGAAATGGAAGCCTTAGATGGGTTTGCCGCGATTCCAATCAATAATACTCGAGGTCGAATGCGAGTCGAATAATTATTATAAGTGTTCGGATCAGCAACTTGCAGGTCATCCATTTCCAGGACCATCATTTGCTCATCGCTCGGCCGGGGCACATCATCCGAACCTAGAAATGCCTCAACTGCAAGCTTAACGGGCACAGTCGGACAGGCGGGGACATGCATGAGCACCGGGTTATAGAATTATTGCACAATATATTTAAATCCACAGCTGCTCCAGCTTGGGCGGCACCAGCTGTCGCCGATGCGGCATGAACCTGCCAACAAGTTGTGTGAATCGAAAATAATAGCCGTGTTGAAATTTATATATAGCCTCCGAACCAGACGGCGTCCCTAAGCCCGAAACCCAGCTGATCCGGACGCTGTCCCTAAACCCGAACACCCAAAATAATAAGCCCGAAAGCCTAGACCCGCCGAAGCTCGCGACCCTAGACGGGCTAAAGCCACCGAAGACTAGACCCTAGACGGAGAAAACAACTTTCGTCTAGATTTTTCCGTAAACCCTAATTAATTATTAAACCCTAGACCCCAAACCCCAAATCCTAAAGTTTAAACCTGGAAGGGCCTCCGTTGCCACGTTATCATCGATCTCGTCGGCCTGCCGTGACAGGAGACCTACATATATTCGGCTAGGTGGAAATGAATAGCCTGTTCATCTTCACCCGCCGCGCTGTCAATTTCGAAGACTTCGTCGTCCTCGCCCAGCTCCTCCGAAATTTTCTATTCACTAGCTATTAATATATGAATCATGACTCGAGCTCTGGGCCTCTACGTCTGCCTCGGAGACATCGCCTGTAGCCTGCCGCAAGTGGTCAGCTCCATCGATATATGAAACCTCAAGCCTCAAGCTCCGCCCTATCGTATCATAAACGGTGCCATGGCTCAGAACTACCAATCGAGCTCGCACTCGATCGCCGTGCCGGAACACATTGTCCGTTGACACGAAAGTACATTGTTTTCAATACAGCGATTTCCGGGCTCCTGCAGCATGAGAATATATGGATGCCTGCTAGCAGCTACTATATTTATATGTACACCGTAGGTGAGCACACGGTCCTTGCATAAGGTGTTCTGTGGATAATGGCGCACAAATAGGAGGCGAGCCATTTCAGGCGCGTGCCATAAAGCTCTGACCATTCCTGCATCATGAATCTTGCATCTAAGACGATATTTATATGTACTGCGTGCAGCCCCCAACCTTGAGTTTTCGTCGGCTGGCTTTGGTCTTGATAAATCCAGCGGTCCAGAATCCGTAAGCACAGGCAACATAAAGAGCGGCAGCCTAAGTAGACCGATACATATTTATATTACATAATATTGTACATGCGAGGAAACAGTACGACGGACTGCTCATGATGCGAGGCCCCGGCTCGGTGCTCCTTACACGATATCAGCTTCGGGTGAGGCATTCTAATGCCTTTCAGCAGATGTACGACATACCGCTTCATGATCGCATAGTTGACGGGGTCAACAAGGTCGCATTCCGCAAGTTTCACCTCGTACACTGTCAGTAGCGGATGGTCCTGAGCTAAATGGCAGCCGCATGCGCACCAGCAGTACTACTATACGATCGAGGTAAGATTCATCCTTTTGTCGGATATCATCCAACATTTTTTCGATCTCCGGCCGCAGGGCGTCCACGATCTTCATCGCAACATCCTCACATTTAAGAGCGAGGTACTGCACAAGCTACACCCGTACTGCACATGAAATGACAATTCAGCAAAGGATCCGTCACGAAAAAACGTACTGGCTGTAAAACTTGCATACCGGACTCCGTGACCCCATTCCTGGTCCGTTCCGAGGCAATCGCCCGGAACGTCGCCGGCTTGGAGTTTTCCGCCGACACATTGCCGGTTTTCGACATGTCGTATAGCAGGCTGCAAACGTAACGAACTGTTACACTGACATATTTATGGCAGAACCCAGACCCTTGCATGCAGCTCGAAGCCTACAGTCCAGAACTGGCTGACGAAGCCTCGCTCGTAGAATACTGGCTCACGAAGCCTAAGCCCTATATATCTAGACTCAAGACTTGCTGTGCTGCAGAACACTCGTTCGGAGAACCTGTGTTCGAGCGCGGGCAGATACATGTATACATGTACATGCAGCACAGCTGACGGCAGGCTAGCGGTGGGAGGCACCTTGCTTCTTCTTGAATTTCACGTGGTGGATGACACCCAATAGGCCAGGCATGGCGATCAGCAAAACTTGCAGCTAATTATGCGGGCAGACCATTAGCAGACGAACTCATCGATGCGAGCAGCTTTGAATACGTCATCCTGGTTCCGAATGCCAACCGTACGGGCTGAGCACTCGAATCTGCAGCTAGCTTTAACTTCGATTCAACACATCATGGTTCCGAAATATACGGGCTCAACATATGAAACTCGAATCGAATTCACCTCTTTAATTTGCAACGCAACATACTGCCCCTGATCAGAAATTGCAGCAGCGACCATCGCACCACTCATGCGAAAGCTCACACGCACGCAGAAGCCTGACCAGAATCCGTCCGAACCCTGCTAATTTGGGGCTGTATATATCATATATATATATATATATATACTTGCTTGTTTTAAGCTCGCATTATTTCATTTCACTGCCGAGGTTTCGGTAACGCTATATACCCAAAGCTCGGCAGCGAAATCATAAAACACCGGTGTTTTGACTTTGCAATCTTTGCTGACCGGCTGCTTTAGTTGGCTAGGATCTGATGTAAGCATGATAAACCAATTTTAAATCGCTGCCACTGCTCGCTTTAAAATTTATGCAACTTTTCAGGTAGGGTTCTTGCGTAAAACACCAAAACCCCAAGTGAGTGAATAGACACACGTGCGCTGCTGGACAAAAAAAAACAAGTATTGTCCATGCACACACTTGGAGCCTTTGGGACTTGAAGTGCTGCCACTGGGCCAGCCCCGCCTCCAGCAAATAGGCGCAGACAGGCTTAGCGTACCACCCTCTGCCCACATAGGGCAGCCGATCCA